TTGATGAAAAATCTTAGTGCAAAGAGTTGCTCCTTGTAACAAAATTCTAAGAAAATTCTTAGAAATGTGGGTGTTTCCTCTTAAAATTAAAGAAAAGATCCTAGTAAAGAAAAAAATAATTCAGAAAGCCTCAGAAGGCCTTAGGTCCAAAATTGTTAGGAAGCCACATCACCACAAGTTGTTTGGGAGGGTTTCAAGAAAATTCCTCAGCTCTCGAAAACAAACTCCAGCATATTCAGTTGTCAGACATGACTGGAACTTCACACGGGACTGGGTTTTATGATCAGATGAAAACTAAACAAATGAGCTTTTTGGCAGCAAACACTCAAGATTATAGGCATTATAGGTCAAGACTCAGAGCTGTTATCTTGGCTAAAGGAGGTTGGAATAAGAACTGAAAAAAGGGTACCATTAATTGGTGTATTAGAGAAAATTCCATAATAAGATTCCGCTTTTATCAGAAATCTCATTATTCTCATTTTCAGCTGTGTTACTTGAAATTGAAAGGTTAAGGTTTTATGAATTTTTTGAATAAAAGATCAAAATGATTAACAGTGCAGATTTATTTTCAGATCCTTTTTTGTTCATATTTACCAAGGGTGCCAATCATTTTATATATATACACCATATATATTGTATACAGTATATATTTTAATGTTTTTATTTACCATGCTGTCGTACTTAACATATTTGATAGGAAATGAACAGCGAGACAATAATGTTCTGAAAGTGCTATAATTGTTTGTGTGATCACTTTGCTTATAGAAGGTTGTGACAGACACAAATCATCACTGCTGCATAGTTATTTTTCCAGTTGCCAAATATGTTAATGTAGTTAATGTAGTGATTATACTTACATTTCTGGCGCTATGGCATTTCTGCGCTGTGTCAGAGATGTTAGCATGTCTCTAAAAGATCGGTCACAAACATGATCCCTGCACGATCTAATGTGTAGCGTCTTATTAACTCAGTCATGCATTGTGTGCAACACATTTCTTCTCCCTCTTCAAGTTTCATCCATTTTCTCCACTGCTAAAGAAACTCTTAAAAGGACAGTTCACCCAAAAATCATTTACTCACCCTCATGTCGTTCCAAAACTGTACTAGTATTTTTTTTCCTACTATGGAAGTCAATGACAACCACCAACTGTTTGATTACCAGCAATTTTCAAAATATCTTCTTTTATGTTCGACATAAGAAAGCAACTCATACGGGTTTGGAACGACATGAGGGTGAGTAAATGATGACAGAATTTTCATTTTTGGGTGAACTGTCCCTTTAAGCCTCTTATAAGTCCGTCTGTACTCCTAACAATTTTGGACCTAAGGCCTCTTTTAAGGGTTCAGAGGCTTTCTGAATTACTTTTTTCTTTACTAGGATCTTTTCTTTAATTTTAAGAGGAAACACCCACATTTCTAAGAATTTTCTTAGAATTTTGTTACAAGGAGCAACTCTTTGCACTAAGATTTTTCATCAATACGGGCCCAGATGTGTTTTATTTTCATTGCAGAATAACTGTAATCGTGGTGCAAGGTCAGCTAAAGTTAGTTTATTGAGAGTTATGTGACTTGGATTTCTGCACTGCAGTATTGTATGTTTGTTCAGTGACTGGCCCAAAACAAAAATTGAATGCTCACAGTAAAAGCCTCTCTTTTAAGGTGATACATCAATGAATCATTATGATACCTACTTTTCCAATACTTATTTGGAAATAATAATATTTGACAAATATATCCCTATAAATTTCTACAGCTCATCTACAAGTCAAAGCATGCAAAAAAACAGAAATTCTGGTAATCGCTGTCTGTTGTGACCATAACAACACCAACCAGGACAGCTGGGAACATGAGCGTAGCTTCTGCTTTTCTCACTAGCTTCTGCTTTTCTACCCACGTCACAACAGCCTGATCGTGCAGGTTCACATTTGCAGCACAAATATGACCCTGGACCACAAAACCAGTCATGAGGGTGAATAAATAAGCTTTCCATTGATGTATGGTTTGTTAGGATGGGACAATATTTGGCTGAGATACAACTATTTGAAAATCTGGAATCTGAGGGTGCAAAAAAATCTAAATATTGAGAAAATCACCTTTAAAGTTGTCCAAATGAAGTTCTTAGCAATGCATATTACTAATCAAAAATTAAGTTTTGATATATTTACGGTAGGAAATGTACAAAGTATCTTCATGGAACATGATCTTTACTTAATATTGTATATTGTATAAAAGCGTTGGATTTGGGCTATACGAAGAGATGAGGGGGTGGCATTTACATTGAGGAAGGGCAGCACTTTTGTGTGTGCTATGCACTTCACGGAGGATGAAGTCCGCGTCCATCCACAGTCCGGGCGTAAATATCTTGCACCGCAGGCTGTGCCTTCCAGGTTTTCGTGGAACAACTGGGGAGACGTTAAATCACGCCAGACACGGACGGCAAAAAGAGGTGTCTGTGGTGAGCAGGAGGAAGCAAATGTTGAAATGGAGAGTGTTGATGCGGTGTTGCTGGTGCAGGAGCACGATTACAACAGCCGCCCTCCTCCGGGTGAGTAGCTATAGCATGTTGTTAGCTAATACAATAACTACAAATAGCCCAGAGTCGACAAAGATAGACAGAAGAACAGTAGGTAATTGCTAATTAAATAGAAATTATATAATTTTCTAATATATACAATGCTAGATATATAAAATTACGAGCACAGTTATGCTAACAATGGATCATGTTAGTAAGGTGAATGTGTTGTATAATTATTTGCATGGTCTGCTGCAAAGTGCAAACTAATAACACGATTTAAACCCAGTTATAACTGTTCATTTTTACCCTTGTCAGCCCGTTTATACTGCTCTCTGTGGATTAGCTCAGTGGTTCTCAACCATGTTGCTGGAGCCCCCAGCACTGCACATGTTGTATGGTTTCCCTGTCTGACACACCCATTTCTTGACTTATAGTCTCTTATGAGCTAACTACATGAATCATGTGTTTTTGATTAAAGGGACAGATCACACCAAAATGAAAACGAAGTCTTCATTTACTTACCATTTACTCATCCTCAGTTTGTTCACAAAGAAAGATATTTGTAAGAATGTCAGTAATTAAACAGATCTCAGAATTTACAGTGATGTTATAACTATTATATAATTGCATAAACCTGTAATAGTTATTTATCAAATTGAGTTGTTGTTCGTCAGAAATGTACTCTAATAATGAATTGTCATGTTTAACATAATATTTAAAAAAAGTTTTATTTTGTTTCTTTTTAATTAGGTGCTCTTGATGAGGCATTGGGAAAAATAAAGGAGCTGGAGGAACTGGTGTCAAGCCTTACCATCTCTTGAGCTTTGCTGGATAGATGGTGTGTGTCTGATGAAGACTTCAGTTATTTCACAAGGTTCTCAAACAAAAACATATTTTTTGTGTTCTGGAGATCTATTGAGCCCTCTGCATCCAAGATTGTGTACTGGTCCAAAGCCAAGAGGATTGGAATTTCAACTGTGGAGAAAGAGGTTGTGAAGCCAAGCCCCCAGCGCAAGATGCAGCTCATTGATGAGTTTTTCATGTTTTGCCTGCGAGTCGCTGTCGGTCTTCGAGAAAGAGTTTTGGCCGAGATATTTCAAGTGAGCACTTCTACAGTGAGTCGCATTATAATAACATGGTCAAACTACTTATACCTTGTGTTGGGATCAGTTCAAATCTGGATGACCCGGGAGCAGGTGAGACGGACAATGCCTGTGAAATTTCAGCAGTACTGCCCAAATGTGAGGGTCATTATTGACTGCACAGAGTTCAGATGTGAGTGCCCAGAGGCAATTACCCTCCACTCTGAAACATTCTCAACTTACAAGAGCCATACCACCTTCAAAGCCTTAATTGGAGTGGCACCCTGTGGTGCAATCACATTTGCATCAAGGTTATTCACTGGCTCTGTCTCTGACAAGGAGTTGACAAGGCTGTCAGGAATCTTGGACTTACTGGAGCCAGGTGATGAGGTTATGGCAGATAAGGGCTTCCTCGTTGGAAAGTTGTTGGAGGATGTTATGGCAAAATTAATCATCCCCCCTTTCAAGCACAGTGACCAGTTTAGCAGAGAGGAAACTGAGAGAACCCAGGCCATTGCCAGACTCCGCATCCTTGTTGAACGTGTAATTAGACGAGTAAAAGAGTACCACATTTGGGATTCCCCTGTTCCCCTCACTTTAGCAGGCACCATCAATCAGATGTGGTCCTGCTGTTGCATGATGGCAAATTACCAGGGTCCTTTAGATCTTGAAGGTGAGATAAAATATTGGACAGAATAGCAGCCTGCTATTTTTTACTCAGTACAGCCAAATCAGGTGCCATGTGTCTCCTCTTCTCATTACTTTGACATTATAACACCAGCTAGTAACATCCTCTTCTCCTTGTAACCCAGTGCCATCATTCTCACCTATTTTACCTGTCAGTAACATTATCATCCTCCTGCTCACCAGCCAGTAACATCGGCCACCACCACCACCTGCTCACCAGCCAGCAACATCAGCCCACCACCACCTCCTGCTCAGCAGCCAGTAACATCGGCCACCACCACCTCCTGCTCAGCAGCCAGTAACATCGGCCACCACCACCTCCTGCTCAGCAGCCAGTAACATCGGCCACCACCACCTCCTGCTCAGCAGCCAGTAACATCGGCCACCACCACCACCTGCTCACCAGCCAGTAACATCGGCCACCACCACCTCCTGCTCAGCAGCCAGTAACATCGGCCACCACCACCTCCTGCTCAGCAGCCAGTAACATCGGCCACCACCACCTCCTGCTCAGCAGCCAGTAACATCGGCCACCACCACCTCCTGCTCACCAGCCAGTAACATCGGACACCACCACCACCTCCTGCTCACCAGCCAGTAACATTGGCCACCACCACCACCTCCACCTCCTGCTCACCAGCCAGTAACATTGGCCACCACCACCACCTCCACCTCCTGCTCACCAGCCACCACCACCACCTCCTGCTCACCAGCCAGTAACATCTGCCACATTTTTCTTTGCCTTGCCACTCAACAAGAGCAGGTACAACCTCTTATAAAAGTTGTGTAGTCACTATTGCCCTGTTTAATAAAAGAAGCCCCATGATATATCACTACATAATTTCATAAATTTAGTACCTTAAATTACTTGTGTACCTAAAAAAAAACCTTACCTGTCACTTCTCCAGGTAAAAACAAATGTGTAATTGTAGCAACTGTTCTGTTCTCATTAACAGTGTAAAAAAAAAATTATTGCAAGAATCTTCAGTCAACCTCATTCCTTTGCTAGGTAAGTAATTTCTGTAATTTTCATTTTCTATTTATTTAGTATTTTGGTCAATATTCTTATTAATTGTGGCCAAGCATTAAGTAGCATTAATAGATCACCTACACACATTTTATAACAGACATTATATTTGTTTCATTTACCAGAAGCAGATAAAAGCTTGTCCTAAGCTAGCCTACTTTGTGACACTGTGGTCTATCTTGTCGTAAGTTTGAGTTTTTGTTACCCTTTTCAGACAGGATTGTAAGTTATATTATTTGTAGGGCTTCCCTCGACTAAAGATTTTTCTGGTCGACTAGTAGTTGTTCATTTTAAGTATTAGTCGACTATTAGTCGCATGTTTATTAATAAACCATATAATGAGCCTTTTATAGCATAAAGCACTCAAGCGCACACACCAACAAAAAAAAAGGGTTGCCACAGCGTACTGGCAGAAATAATAATTATGAATGTGTCTGGGAAAAACAGCAAAAGAGACTACATTAACATTTTAATAATTAACATAAACTAACTCTTCTTAATGACCTGCAACAGCATCTTTCAGATTTTTAGCACATTGACTGTCATTGACTCATCTTTCCAGCTTGGGAAAAGTAAGTTTTAACAATATATTTTCAATGTTCGGTAATAAAGATTTGAAAAACATATCATAAATCTTAATCTAAATTAAATAACAAGCTATAAAAAAAATACTAAAGTCTACTGCAGTTAACGCTTAAATGAACTATGAATGACTAATCATCTGATTTATTTTTCTTGTGAACTAAATGACTATTTAACAGTGAATGATAGAAACATCATTGGTTAGGCAACACTTCTTGCCTATTTTCTCCCTAGCAAAACATGAATGTATGTGCCACAGTAGAATTCATCAGCTTTAGCCTTGATTTCTTGGATCAGCTCATCATTTCTCCATACTCTCTCCACAGTGAAGTCAGCCCTAGTATTTGTTAGGATCACACCAGATCACACCAAGATAAGCCAGTGACCATCAGCTGACCCTGGACTTGCCAGTGGTAGGTGTGTGATTTCCTTAGTTTTGCTTGGCCCCCAACAAACTCTGTGTGTGATGCCTCTCCTATGTCTTTCACATCAGGGCACTTAACTTCTACCAGGCCATAGGGAGGGTCTTCATTTGGATCTACCACCTTGCCATCTGGACTAGCACCAAGGTGTGGAGCTTCGGGGTGAATGATGAGACCGCATGGAAGTACATTGACATTGAAGGTCTCAGCATAGCAGCGAAGAACCTCTGGCTCAAGTTCCACTCCTCTACGCATTGCTTTGGTCTGGGGGGCACCTTTAATGATCCTGCCAGCAAGTGTTTTTGCAGTGGATTCTGACCTCACACGAGCTGTTTCGTAGAACTTGCTTGCTGTAAGCCGGAGGCGACGCATGCTAAACCAGAGTGGGCTTTTAGATTGATCCCGTGTTCCCTCCTCAATGATCCCTGACATTTCAGGTGTCACCTCCAGGCTCTGCATATGCATGAGTTCAGCCCAGCTGCCAGGGACAAAATTATATTGTGGAAGTGTGTATTGTGGGACAGGTAATGGGGGGAATTCTGGTGCATTTGGATGGGTAAGCACATCCATTGGCAGCACAGCAGGACACTGGTAAGAAAGCAGTGAACCTTTTGGGACCTCTCCAAATTTTGATGAAACCATGGTTACAGCAGACATCCCATCAACAATCTTTGCGATTAGTGGTTGAGGTCGAAGGGAAATGAGGGATGCTGCTCCAGCAATCACATCATTATCAGGCAAAGGTCCTAAAACAAAATGTTTGTCTCACTGTGTTAATTGTTAACTATTTCGAAAATGTGTTTTAGTAGTATTTGGAGAGTACCTCCATATGCTTTGTACAGAGTTGACTGCACATATATTAATGATTGGGAGAAAACGAGTTTGCACTCCATTATGACAATGACTGTATGAATGAATGAATGAATGATGATCGTAACAGGCGGCGGCACGACCGGAAGTAACGCTTCCCTACTTCCGTTCTCGGCCGCCATATTGTGAAATAGGCCTATCTAGCATGTCTTCTATGATCAATCCATTGTAATCTGTGTTAGTACTCCCCCACAATGTGCTGTGTGCATTAAAATCACCACACCACTTTATGATTTCCATTTCCTCCAATACTTTCTAGCTTATCCTTGCTTAATCTGTCACATGGATTGTAAAAGTTAATTATTCTAATACTCTGTACTCCTTCCCATATTTCAACCACTACAACCTCTTGCTCGCCATATACCTCAACTGTTCTATACCCAATATCTTGTTTAATAAATGTTGCTACCCCACCACCATTTCCTTTACATCTATCTCTTCTGACTGTAATGTATCCATGAATTAAAATTTTTTATTGCGGTTTAAGCCACGTTTCTTGAACACATAATGTAAGGACTATTTTCTTGATTTGTTATAATTTTTAATTATAACAAATTATAAAAGTAAACTTCCCCAGCACTACTCGGCACCTCAGTCTGGCTGTGACTGACATTTACCACGAGTTTACATATGATGATGCCTAATTAAAAGTGTTTACTTTTACTGTACTTTTACTTGAGTGTGGAACATGAGGCATTTTCCCACCACTGCTCAATATGTAGGCCAGAGAAATCCACAGGACGGCACAGCTGAAGACCAAACCAAGAAGAAGCCAACAGTCATCAGTGGATCCTGCAAAACATAGAACAAGAGTGGAGAGCAGTCAGCTTACATATTCTAACAGGCAAAAAGCCAGTTCAATTCATTTGAAAAATCATTCTAATTCTATGAAAATAGTGAAGATCACATCACAACCGTAACAATAATGACACAGAGGAGCAATATCATTGGAATCAGAATGACTTTTTCCAGCTGATAAATGATGAAAAGAGCCAATCCGAAATCTACTCGACTTAAAAAAGCTTGAGCATTTAAAGCAGCAGATGAAATAACTGTAGCATGCACTTATAATAAACAGAAAGTTATTGTGTTTTGGTGTGGATGCTAATATCATTATTTTTAGAGCTATTATTCTCTGTCTGAGCAGGCTTTAATCCTCACATTTTACATTTACTTTAGATGGCTTCCCATCTACAGGATTGTACAGATTTTCTGCAATGCACCAAAACCTGACATACATTTGTGGTTGTTGTTGTTTATGCCAATTATGTAGTGTTTTAAAAACAAGAAGTAGCTTCAAAAAAAAAAGAAAAGAAAAAAAAAAGCAGCAGCTAAAGAAACACCTATTTTAGAAACATTTACCACTATAAACTCTGCATAAAAACTATTGAAAATCATTTTCAAATATAAAGATTATTAAGCGACTCACCAGTGTTATTCACATAGAGGAAACCTGAAGCACTTCCATACCGGTTTGATGCCGTACAGATGTATACACCATTAAAATCAGAGGAAGATTTTGGGATGAAAAGCTTGTTTCCTTCAGAACGAGGAGTACTTCCATTCACTCTGTTAATAAAGACACATTAGGGAGACTAGTGAATCCGACATGTGATATATACATGAGCATATGTGACCCTGGAGCACAAAAGCAGTCTTAAGTCACTGGGGTATATTTAATACCCTACAATACACTTTATGGGTCAAAATTATAATTTTTTCTTTTATGCCAAAAATCATTAGGATTTTAAGTTAAGATCATGTTCCATGAAGATATTTTGTACATTTCCTACCATAAATATATTAAAACTTCATTTTTGATGAGTAATATGCACTGCTAAGGACTTCATTTGGACAACTTTAAAGGCAATTTTCTCAATATTTTGATTTAAAAATATTCAAATAGTGTCCTATCCTAACAAACCATACATCAATGAAAAGCTTATTTATTCAGCTTTAAAAAAAAACTGGACCCCTTATTACTGGTTTTGTGGTCTAGAGTCACATATACTGTACATGTATATATGTAGCAAAACAAAAACTTGAAAATGTTAGACAGCATAACATAACACATAACAATGATGAATAATGATGATAATTAATTAGTCATCATATTTTATACTTATATTATGTGTCCGATTCCACACTTCTTGTTTTCTGAATCCAAATGTTCCCAAGTCTTGAGTACTAGAACGTTCCCAAATATTACACTTACACATATTGTTTTCCATCATCCAAACTAAGTAAAAAAAACAAATGATATTTATAGCAACAAAACAGCTATGCCTAAAAATTAACAAGCAACTCTGCCATACAACTCTAAATGTGTCTGAAATGTGTAGGAATTAAAGTACTAAAAAGTACATGATTTCATTACTTGATCCAGATGTAGCTGGTTGGTGTTGGGTTACAATCCACTGAACAAAGATATTCTTGAGTCTGTGTTGGATCATCAGGAGATATCACCACCAATTCTGGGGGATCTAAGAGTTGCAAAATATAATAATAATACTTTAATGCTTTAATTATAATAATATATGACTTACCATAAACATAGTTCATGTAGTTTTGAATCTAGGGATGCTTCATTTACAGGAGGGAATCTGTGCCGTTTAACTTCCTTTTTATAGAGGGATGAAAATGTCCTTGCTTTCCAGCTCCACCCACCAACAGATTCCAGATACAGAGGCCCACCACAACTTACAGCCACAGTAAATCTGTTAATAGTCACTCAGCCTTTACCAGTGGCTGTTGTATTCTTTTTGCACTAAGCTAGTTTATGACTTGTTTGAATTTGTTTGACAGTGTTTACATATACAGTGTAAATGCATATGTTACTTACAGTGGACATTTATTATGTAGTCAAGTTCTAGCTCCTTTGTCAGTGTGCTGTGTTTTACCACACACTGGATCTTCTTCTGGTTTAAATCTTTAGATGGTGCACCAAGTATTTGGGACACAGCCGTGACGCTTCCATCTGTGTGCTCTGTGTAGCCGATTTCTGTCCTCAGTGAGTCATTTAGAGCTCCTAATCTCCAAAACACCTCTGCTGCAGGCCGGCCATTGGAAGCGACACATGATGCCAAAATAATGTTGAAATGACTTGAAACAAGTGTCTTCCCTGTAACATTTCCCACCGGAGGAACTACATTTTACAAAAAAAAAAAAGACAATAAATGAATTATGTCAACAACGTGAACATGATGAAATAGTTGGTTTGGATTATTACTTAAAGTAGATTTTTAAAGTTCTGCCCAATAGCTAATCCTTTTTTTCATGCTATGGTTGATAAATTGCAGTATATAAAACATATGTAACCATGGTTCCCCGAGGGAACGAGACGCTGCGTCGGAAAACACGCTGCCAGACTTGCAAATCCCAACCTAGTGTGGAAGAGCACAGCTATGGCAAGAGAACAAGGGAGCCTGGAGTGGCTCGCAAATCTAGGTCATAGAACCTGATGAATGTGAGGTTTGGCCAGACCAGGCGCAAAGTTGAGATAGGAAGGGGCCATAGAAAGGGGAGTGCAGATCCCCAACTCTCTATAGAGGAGATATAACCAAGAGAAACACAGTCTTTAACGCAGGGGTGTAGCCATCATTTCAGAAGTGAGGGGGACAGAAATGTTAATATATATATATATATATATATATATATATATATATATATATATATATATACTGTATATATTAATATAACATATATAAACATATAAACATAACATTTCTGTAATCTATATAATCTACCAGTCAACAGTTTTTGAACAGTAAGATTTTTTATGTTTTATAAAGAAGTCTCTTATGTTCACCAAATCTGCATTTATTTGATCCAAAGTACAGCAAAAGCAGTAATGTTGTGAAATATTTTTACTATTTAAAATAACTGCTTTCTATTTGAATATATTTTAAAATGTAATTTATTTCTGTGATCAAAGCTGAATTTTCAGCATCATTACTCCAGTCTTCAGTGTCACATGATCCTTCAGAAATCATTCTAATATGCTGATGTGCTGCTCAATAAACCTTTTTTAATTATTATTATTAGTATTATCATCAATATTTAAAACAGTTGAGTACATTTTTTTCAGGATTCTTTGATGAATAGAAAGATCCAAAGATCAGCATTTATGTGAAATAAAAAGCTTTTGTAACATTATACACTATACCATTCAAAAGCTTAGAGTCAGTATAATTTTAATTTTTTGGAAAATAAATTATAGAAATCAACACTTTTATTTAGCAAGGATGCTTTAAATTGATCAAAAGTGAAGATAAAAACATTTAAAATTTTACAAAATATTTATATTTCAGATAAAATGCAGTTCTTCTTAACTTTCTATTCATCAAAGAAACCTGAAAAAATTATACTCAGCTATTTTCAACATCATCATAATAATAAATGCTTTTTGAGCAGCAAATCAGAATATCAGAATGATTTCTGAAGGATCGTGTGACTGGAGTAATTATGCTAAATATTTAGCTTTGAAATCACAATAAATTACATTTTAAAATATATTCAAATATAAAAAGGTTATTTTAAATAGCCTAGTAAAAATATTTAAAAATTTTACTGTTTTGCTGTACTTTGGATCAAATAAATGCAGGCTTGCTGAACAGAAGAGACTTCTTTTAAAAACATTAAAAATCTTACTGTTCAAAAACTTTTGACTGGTGTATAGTCAACCTTAATTTTTCTCTCATTTCTAGCTTTTAATTGGCTTAGAAATCAGATAACTGCTGGACAATAACCAATAATAATGATTTGTTTATATACTACAAACACTTTTTTTTTATCACATAATAAGGCAGAATAGTTCGTATACTGTAATAAATGCTGTGTCAGTTAGCACTGCATTGTTCATATACTTTATTTATTACCTGGAGATGACTTTACAAACACAAATAAACCATATTGTCGCAATCGTATGTTTAATGTCTTCACGTTTCCAAACGTTTCTGTTTTTCTGAAAACAACTGTTTTCATACAGCGATAGCTGGACGCTTTTGTCCATATTAGAAATTTCCTCATTCGACTTTCTGCGCGAGCACCCTCCGGCTTCGAGTATGAATGAAACATACACTGCACAGAGTGTTTAGCGCTCTGCGATGTTCATCTCGCCTTATTCTGGGTCCGAATAAAACATCAGATCATGCACAGACTATCCTGTCTCTTTGAATTTAAATATATATTTATTCACACCGGCTCTTGAAAACCTCTATGCGAACACACTTGCTCGAAAAAGTGCGGAACGGGGCTACTAGCAATAGACGGACCCCGTCCCGACGCACTCTCTCTAGAACTCCTGGGAGCAGAGCGATCGGTGGAAAGGCGTACAGACGAAGCCTTAGCCAAGTCTGTACCATAGCATCCAGCCCCAGTGGAGCTGGATGAGTCAGAGAGAACCAGAGGGGACATTGCGATGTCTGACAAGTCGCAAACAAGTCCACCTGAGCCTGGCCAAAAACTCTCCATATCTGCTTCACCACCTCGGGGTGAAGCATCCATTCCCCGGGCCTCGGTCCCTGCCTCGACAGGATGGGTTGATATAAAAGACCACCGCTGTGTTGTCGGTGCGCACCAACACATGGGAATCTCTTAGGTCTGGAAGAAAGTGTTTGAGGGCTCGACACGGCTAGCATCTCCAGGCAGTTGATGTGCTACGTGAGATGGCGACCACTCCACAGACCGCGGGCAGGGTGGCCACTCATCACTGCATCTAAACCAACAACATGCCTGTTAGATCCTGTACCCACTAAATTATTGAAAGAGTTGTTACCTGTAGCAGAAGAACCGCTTCTTAATATTATTAACTCGTCGTTCCAGCAGCTTTTGAAACTGCTTGACAGTGAGTGACTGGCCTTCTCTGACTCTCGCGAATGCAGTGAGGATCAACTCGATCTGAGCAGGAGACAAACGTGCCTGCATCGTGGTCAAATCCCACACCATGCCCAGATAAGTGGTCCTCTGTAATGGAGAAAGCACACTTTTCTTGGCATTTAGACTTAACCCCTACTCTTTCATATGAGCGAGAACGACATCTCGATGCTGAACCGCCATCTGCTCTGATGGAGCTAAAATCAACCAATCGTCGATGTAATTGAGTATGCGGATGCCCTGGAGTCGCAGAGGAGCCAGAGCAGCATCCACACACTTTGTGAACGTACAGGATGAGAGTGCTAGGCCGAAGGGAATGACCCAATATTGGTAAGCTTTGCCCCTGAAAGCAAACCTCAGGAACTTCCTGTGACTGGGAAGGATGGAGACATGGAAATAAGCATCTTTTAGATCTATCGTGACAAACCAGTCCTCGGACCTGATCTGAGACACGACCTGTTTGACAGTGAGCATTTTGAACTTCAGACACATGACTGAGCAGTTCAATAGCCGCAGATCTAAAGATCTAAAAGATCTTCTCTTTCATATCGGACAGGGTCAACCATAAATGCTTCTCCTCCGCCACCAGAGCTGCCATGGACCGCCCAATGGCACGGGCGGTCTCCTTGGTGGCGCGGAGAGCTGAATCTGCAGTTCTCCTCAGTTCTAAGATGTTATCTGCTTTGACTTGCTCGCCTTCATCTAGCTCTTTTAGCAGGTCGGCTTGGTACGCCTGTAACACTGACATAGTGTGCAGAAGTCTGAATTAGTTCGCCTTCAGAGACGATGCCACGCCGGGGGACAGATAGCTCGCAAGCGTTTTCTTTACCCGGGGCATCGCTCTGTAACCGCATTCACCCAGTCCCGCCACATTTCCATAGTAATCAGAGGCGGGGATGAATAAGCGGGCCGAGAATGGTTTCTTCCACGATCTCGACACCTCGGTGTGGAGATCGGGAAAAAACGGTTTACTTTTCTGCGGTTCAGCCTGTTTCTCGGCGGGCCAATCGATGTTTAACTTGGCAACCGCACGAGTAACTACCTCCAATAGCTCCTCATATTGTGGTGATTGAGGGGGCGAATCCTCGGAGGAAGATAGGAGAAGCGCCGAGCCCGCTCTCTGGGATCGGAAGTCCGTTCTGCGGTTTCTTCCCCCCGGAGAGTGGGCTCGGCGCTTCTCCTATCTTCCTCCGAGGATTCGGGCAGTGGATCTGGCAGGTGAGGAAGAAGATAGGGACTGGCTCGTCTCCATTCCCTCCACCAGATCCAGCTGCGAACCCCACGAGTGCAGCTGCCTCTCCACGTCGGCGGAAGCGGGGCCAGCACCGTGAGGAACACTGGTGAAGGCTCCCTCCTCAAAGAGAGCCTTCCGGGAGTGAAGCAAACGCAGTGGCAACCGCTCACACTGTGGGCAGTCGGCCCCCTTGAGACCCGACCCTGCGTGCTCCGCTCCCAAGCAGACCATGCACAAACTGTGTGTATCCCCGCTCGTGATGTAGCGTGGGCAGGGAGGAACACACAATCTATAACGCGATCTGCTTTCGCCCTTGTTTGTCTTTACTTTTGTTTCTTTAGGCATGCTGGAGCTTTATGTTGCTGAATGCTTTGTGTAACTGGACAGACAACAGTAAATAAGACTCACAGAACATAGATCGTGACCGACACACACAGAGAGCTTTGCTGAATGACAGAAAGCTAACGCCGGCAGCACCTCACGTGCTTTTAAGCTTCCTGATCATGACGTCACCTGCCTCTGACGTCTCGCCCATCGATTGGACTGATTACACATATGATTCAGAGCTTGGTATCGCTGAAGGCGTTGCCCTAGCGTTTTCCGACGCAGCTCGAGTTCCCGAAGGGGAACAGTGGTTAAGTTGTATTTACAACACTGTTCTAGAACAGTTTAACCCAAATATTCAGATGTGTGCAGCGTATTTTATGGAGGACTGTTTCCTGATCCTGGTAGAGTAGACTACAATGCTGGCTGTTCTGACTCACAGACTGTAAGTACGTTTTTTATATTAAAGAATTTGCCACTGACGATTCAAACGCGAGTTTTGAGTAGTGTAGAGTAGCGCCTGTTGATTTTCATTTCTCCGATCACAAAAGCAGACATGGTTTTATGTTTACGCAGCGTGATACAACGCGTAAAAAGACAGAATATGTCATTATAATCCGTAATTATGTCCCCACTGGATGCAACAAATGCCTCGTTTATAATGGGTTTTAATGTTTTTGTCTCGTCGCTCCGGCCGGACAGGGCATCACAGTATGGTAGGGGCGTAACATTTCTGTCACACGCTTGAGGTATTCGGCCAATCACAATGCACTGAATAGCTGGCCAATCAGAGCACACCTCGATTTTCAGACCGATGAGCTTTGTAAAAATCGACGCGTTTCAGAAAGGCGGGGCGTAGAGTAGAAACAATAATGTACAGTATGTGGAAAATAATGTTTTATGATGTTTTATGAACCTTAAACTGCATAAACAAATTTCATTACACCAAATACACAAAATAATGTTCTTTTTAGCAACATCATATGACCCCTTTAATAATAAATAAAAAACGTAATAGTTTTTGTCTTTCAAATTTAAATTTTTATGTCAAATACATTGACCGTTGGGAAAAAAAATAGACAATAATTGTTATGTTATTGTGCATTCAAGCACTACCATTTCACTTTTACAAGTTTTGGTTTAAACACACCATGTCTGTAAGAGGAAATGTAATGATGAATCATTTAAAAGGGAAAATTCTGCCCATTATGTGCTGTTAAATTCTGATGCTTGAGACAATGTCTTCTGTGTTCAGCGAAAGAAAGTTAGTTGCACAGAGTTGGAAAAACATGGGAGGGTAAATGACAGATCTGTAATTTTTGAGTGACTCATTTAAGCATTTAAATTTAGAGTTTAAGCAGCTTTAAATCAGAGAATATCATTCACAGTCTTACCAAGTACGGTGACATTGATGTTTGTCTGATTTTTTCCACTAGGAAATATGAAGATACAAGTATAGATCCCATCATCCATCAGTGTCATTCCCAGCAGCTGAACCGATCCATTCTTCTCTTTAATATTCCCAATAAATTTGACCTTGTCCAGTAAATCGTTTTTGTGTTCAGTTTTACCATCTTTGTCAATGATTAAAAAGGTTTCCTGTTTAGGGTTTTCTCTTGTCTGTTTCTGCCAGACAATATGAGTTAAATTATTCTCTGTTTCAATCAGATGACAAGACAAAGTGATATTTCCTCCTTTTTTGACTGATGCATCATGACTAATAATCTTAACCCCTGCAAAATACGTACAAAGAAAAAAAGAGTGAGTAAACATATAAATATCTTCTGGAAAATAAGTGAGCTGTGCTCACGAATCCAAACTGAATCGAGGTTGATTTCTGTTTTGTCAAGTTTGTTAGCATGACAACACAAATTACCCAAATTAATTTGATTTAATCTTAATTTTCTGAAAAGATGGTATTATGTTATCACTCAGTAACATAACTTAAAAATCACTAAACCCCAAAATCCTAAACTCATATATCCAATACATATAAGTTAACATAGAGTAAATAAAGAAAAAGCAACTTACCTGTTATGCTGTTGCATTTGAGATAAATCAAAAACAGACTGAAAAATAAGTCAAAAACATTTATTCTCCAAAGCAGATGCATGTTGTCCAAAGCTGTTAAAAACCACTTCTACTGAACTACTCTCACGTCTCTCGCTCTAGTCTGTGTGCTCAGTGTGATCCAGCTGTTGCTGACTGTCCGCATATTAGAAAAAGACTGACAAATCTGTGGACCGTTGGATGAGCAGGAGGGAAGGGAGAGTAGGGGGAGAGTAGGAGGAGCGAGGACCAAGAACACATATTTGTGTGTGAGCCCACAAAGAAATGAGTGGAGCCAACAAATGCTGCTGTTTTTCATGGTTTGGTTTTGTTCTTGTTCTTTGTCACTGTTTTGTTTAGTATTGCGGTTTTGAATTTAACTGTTCATTTAACTTGACTATCTGTTTAATTTATCTTAAAGACTTAATTCACTCAAAAATGAAATTCTGTCATTAATTACTCACCCTCATGCCGTTCTAAACCCGTAAGACCTCCGTTCATCTTCAGAACACAAATTAAGATATTTTTGATTAAATCTGAGAGCTCTCTGACCCTCCACTGACAGCAAGGATATTCCCATGATCAATGCACAGGAACATAGCAAGGATAAAATAGTCCATGTGACATCAGGGCTTTAACCGTAATTTTACAAAGCTACGAGAATACTTTTTGTGTGCAAAGAAAACAATAATAACATAATTTATTCAACAATACTTGTCCCCGAGTTACCGTCTTCCGCCGTTGTTTACGTTCAGTAGAAACCGTGTGCATGCTGAATGTAAACAATGAAACGAAAATTAATCAAATGCAGTATTATGCATGCTAGGCTAGTAGTTGGCAATGTCACATTGTAAAGAAACACTATGCGCCTGCGCACATATGCATTCCTATGGACCGAACACCTATTACAGATGTGCACAACGTCACGGTTTCCACAAATTCACGTTACACTAAGACGATCGTTTTCAAAAACTCCAAAATACCGCTGTTGTGTAAATGAATGGCTAAACACATAAAAACAACTTTTTCTTTTTACAGCTTAACAGAAAGGTTTCAGAACACAGTGAGCTGCAGTTTGTTACACAAGAGGCTGTGTAGCAGCAGATCAGTCAAAGTGCCCATAATGACCCTGTTCACCGAAGAAAGTGCCTACAATGGGGATGTGAGCATCAGAACCGAACCATAGAGCAATAGAAGATTGTCTGAGTCATGTTTCCTTCTACAAGATCGCTTATGAAATACTGCAGATCAAATCAGGAAGTGATAACTTTAGAGCAGGGATGTCAAACTCGGTTCCAGGAGGGTCACTGTCCTGCAAAGTTTAGCTTTAACTCTAATTAAACATACCTGAACCAGCTGATCAAGTTCAGGGATTATAGAAACTTCCAGACAAGGTTTAGAGCTGAATTCTGTAAGACACCATTCATTGATTGGTCTGATTAAATTGTGTATTACAATTTCAAACGCCCCAGTATATATATGTGAAAAAAAGGAAAGTTAGAAAGACAAAAGAAAACAGTTAACTTCTGACTAAGTTTCTTTAGTCATGTGTCACGGTGCGTGCGGGGAGATGAAGCGAGGACTCAATCGCTGGAGAAATGGTATTTATTTTAGTAACAAATGAAACAAAAACAAACTCAAACCACCCCGAGGGGGAAAAACAGACAGGCAGAGCTAAAGCTGCACACATGCAGACACGAAACACACACAATGAGAAGTGACGGATCAGCACAGGACGGCAGACACAAGGAGAATAAATAGGAACCAAACGAGGAGGCTAACGAGGGAGACACAGGTGGAGCAACTAAAACAATAACGAGGTAACAAGATGGGAGGGGCCAGACAATATTAACAGAAAGGTTTCAGAACACAGTGAGCTGCAGTTTGTTACACATGAGGCTGTGTAGCAGCAGATCAGTCAAAGTGCCCATAATGACCCTGTTCACCGAAGAAAGTGCCTACAATGGGGATGTGAGCATCAGAACCGAACCATAGAGCAATAGAAGATTGTCTGAGTCATGTTTCCTTCTACAAGATCTCTTATGAAATACTGCAGATCAAATCAGGAAGTGATAACTTTAGCACAGGGATGTCAAACTCGGTTCCAGGAGGGTCACTGTCCTGCAAAGTTTAGCTTTAACTCTAATTAAACATACCTGAACCAGCTGATCAAGTTCAGGGATTATAGAAACTTCCAGACAAGGTTTAGAGCTGAACTCTGTAAGACACCATTCATTGATTGGTCTGATTAAATTGTGTATTACAATTTCAAACGCCCCAGTATATATGTGAAAAAAAGGAAAGTTAGAAAGACAAAAGAAAAGTTAACTTCTGACTAAGTTTCTTTAGTCATGTGTCACGGTGCGTGCGGGGAGATGAAGCGAGGACTCAATCGCTGGAGAAATGGTATTTATTTTAGTAACAAATGAAACAAAAACAAACTCAAACCACCCCGAGGGGGAAAAACAGACAGGCAGAGCTAAAGCTGCACACATGCAGACACGAAACACACACAATGAGAAATGACGGATCAGCACAGGACGGCAGACACAAGGAGAATAAATAGGAACCAAACAAGGAGGCTAACGAGGGAGACACAGGTGGAGCAACTAAAACAATAACGAGGTAACAAGATGGGAGGGGCCAGACAATAGACAGGAGAGAGCACATGGCAACAGACAA